CACAATATTTATACAGCCAGGCACCAAGTGTAGCTTGGTAGATCTGGTTAGAATAGTCCCTCAGTTTTGAGAAATAACTTGCCATTACTTTTCACACAGTAGAAGGCATTAAACCTCTGGGTTCATGCAGGGATGCCAAAATTCTTAAATATGACTGGAGCATTGATTATAGAGATAAAATGGCAAACAACTCAGCTGGAGAAGAGGCAAATGAAATAGTTATGGAAGATCCTATGTGCCACAATAGCTAACAACTTTTGAGTAACTGCTATGTGCCAGGAATTCTGCTAAATGCTTTCATACATTATCTCATTTAATCTTCACAATAACTTTCTGAGTTAGGAATAATCATCTTGCAACTGATGAAGAGATTAACTTGTCGATGTTACAGGGGTTTTAAGTGGCAAGGGTTTTAAGTGCCGGAGACAGAATCGGAACCCAGTTCAGATTAAAGACTAAGTGTGAGCGCATAACCCTCCACTCTGTTGCCTCTCTTAACCAAGGCTGCTAGGGGGAGCCATTGAAAGGTTTTGGATTAAGCAGTGATCAGATTTGCTCTTTAGAAAGACTGTTCTGCTACATGTGGAAGCTGGATAAAGGCGACTCTAGAAGCAGAAAGAGGCTGTCAGTACGTCACAGTAAACCAGGTGAGAAATGACAGCATGAACAGTAGCAGTGAGGATGGGGGAAAGAGATTCAAGATATTTTTAGGAGGAAAAATGATCATTCCTCAGAAATTAAATGTAAAGGGTTGGTGAAAAAGGAATCAGGAATCCTGGCTTTGGGAATCAAATAGAATATGATATCATCTACCAAGAACAGAGAAGCAACAGGTTTCATTCAATCAGTAAGTATCTACAGAGTGTCCCTCAAATGCAGAACACTTTTTTAAGGCCAAGAGTCGAGTCTGAAATTATAGTCATGGTTATTAGAAATTGTTCTTAAGAGCAAATGACAAAGCATTAGAAAATATAAGGCATATTTAAAATTAGTCAATGCTATTAACAAACTTGGCTTAGAGTCTAGTGAAAGCATGTTGTGCTTCTATTTGTTAAATATTGCTACACGCAGGCCAGGTACAGTGGCTCAGCCCTGTAATCCCAGCACTTTAGGAGGTTGAGGTGGGTGGATCCCTTGAGGTCAGGAGTTCGAGATCAGCCTGTTCAACATGGTGAAACCCCATCTCTACTAAAAATACAAAAATTAGCTGGGCTTGGTGATGCAAGCTTGTAATGCCAGCTACTCAGGAGGCTGAGGCAGGAGGATCGCTTGAACCCAGGATGTGGAGGTTGCAGTGAGCGAAAATTGTGCCACTGAACTCCAGTCTGGCAACACAGTGAGACTCTGTCTCAAAAAATTAAAATAGAACAATAAATAAAATATTGCTACGTGCAGAAAACAAAAGAGGAAAGGCATCCCATAATTTTATCTTATTACATTTGAGTTTCACAGAACTTCAATCTCATATACCCACCCCCCTCCCCCCCCACACACACAAAACACATCACCCTGTAATTTGTTTTACTTGTCTCTCTCCCCATAAACTTATGGGGAGAACTAAAGGTATCTGCTTTATTACCCATACTGTAATACATACTTGGGATTTTAAAAATCCCACTATCACTACACTGTGTCTTGCCAAGAACTTAAAAACCTCCTATTTGACTTCCTATAAAATATGACCTACTTCACATTAGCTTATTTCAGTAACAATTCGTAGACCTTTACCAGTTTTCATCCAAGGATGCTCTCTGCAAATCTTGGGCACAGCAATCCTGTGCAGATGTGGCAAGTTATTATAATTCCCATTTTACTACATAGTTAGGAAACTGGCCCGGGGAAGTAGAGTAACTTGGAAATAATCACAAAGCCAGATGCCAAAAATAACAACTTTTAGTCAATCCATGAGAAAATACTGCCCCTAGTTGAAATAACATGAAATTTAGTATTAGGAGGAAGCAAAATGCAAAATAATGCTTCAAAGCCAAGTCCTGGGTCTTATTTCTAAAAATGAACAGAAGAATGAAATTCGTAAGAATTTTCAAACACAACAATTTTTTCCTTACCCATCAAGGGTGCCACAGGTTATTTAATGAATTACATCTGGCAAAAATGGCCTTTCAACCAAACCAATTTTGATCTTACCTACTTAAAAATACACTGATAGAAATCTGTTGGTATAGGGCAATGGTAACTCTTTAACAAACCTAACTGCTTAAAATAGAACGCCTACTAGTGTATATCAGTACAGATTTGAAAATAATACAAGTCTCTTGTTCTCTGAAAATATACTCACAGATCCATCAGTACTATGCATGGATAATAAATTTAAAGCTTTAACAGTTAATACTCGGAATGAAAGTTCTCTAGCCACAACTCATCCAGATTTCGAAATATGCTGCTGTTATAATTTAATTAAAAGCAGTTTTATTCCACCACAAAGTAAAAGTCTTACATGATTTAGAAACAAAAACACAGGTATAAGTCAGAGCAAAATACCTCCTATTATACACAGTATTTACACTTTGCTCCCAGTCGGAACCAGTGAGCTCAAGATTTTACTTTTAAAAGGATGATTTTGTACTAAGAACAAGTAAGGGAAACATAAGATTATTGGTAAAACCCAATCATGGGACCCAGACTGCAAATTTTCACAAAAATAAGCTTATGTATCAAGCATGACATCATGGTTTTCCATTAATTAAAATTCAAACTACTAATTCTAATCACAACCAGAAAAACAAAAAAATGCTTTCCAATTCTCCAATACTCTGTTAGAGTAGATCTTGTATGTCCTCTATCAACAACACTTTACTATTGTAGAACTTCAGTTTGTAAATGAAATGACACTCCAAATGATTTTATGGGTAACATACCTTCCTTCTAAAAGTAGAGATCAACCAGTAGAAAAAAAAAAAAAAAACTCTTAAAGAATACATTCAAAATAGCAATCCTGATATAAATATAATACCTCTTATTCCTAGCACCAGAATAACTCAAGTCACTAAAATACATCACACCACACCCCCACCCCCATTCACAGAACCCCAAGCTTTCAGCATTACCAAAACAATAAGAACTCGAAACACTTCAATGGTCCTTTAACACTAGGAAGTGTCTTTAAAATAATCTCACTTGAGGCTATTACATATATATATAATACGCTTATTTTTTACTGCATTTGATCAATATCTTCCACAAAGATCCTAGAAGCAGTATTCATCAACCAGGAATTGCACTCTTCGGTGCAGTCCTTTTTTCAACCCTAATTGTGGGTCAGAAGGGTTGTCACAAATCTACAAAGCAAAAAGCACATAACTGTAAACTACCTAATGATTAAGAAAAAGTAAAACATTTATATAAAATTCCCAAGCGGGATGCCTCTCCATTCCTTATGAGGCAGGAGTCACTGATAAACTCTAAATCTAGATTCTAGAAAATGCTGAAATTCTCCGCCCCAACACTCACAAGTTTTAAACATGGAAATTCACGCAACTCCTACTCACACGTCAAATGAATATCCATTGTGGATATCTGAAACTATTCTCAAATACTAACATAAGTATATATATACATCTTGAGCCTCCTTCTAACCGTCCTACAATACCCTCCAATCATCCTCAGGTAACCTAGATGCAAAGCTCCGACAGACAGCTGCCCTTGGCCTAGACCGTCAGGAACCAGTAGGAGAGCGGGGGCCGGGGGGCGCAAGAACCACCAAGAGACCAGATCTTTTTCCAGGGCTACTGTTTCCAAGCAAAACAACCCACGGCACTAAAGAGATGGCGATGAAAATTGGAGACGCTTTAATCCCGAGAGAGAGGTGGCGATGGGGGGGGGGGGGGCGGATGGGGGGGGGGTACAAGAAATCCCGAGTGAAAGGCGTACGAAAGAGGAAACTAAACTAAGTATCCCATGCATCTTTCAGACCCACAAAACAACAACAAACCGTTGAGTCTGTGTGCACTTAGAAGCAGCAGATGGAGTCCCCGGGGCTGAGACAGTTCAGCAGACGTACGTACACCGTAGGTAGTGGATAAATCAACCGATGACCAGAGGGGAAGGGGATTCGGAGAGAAAAAGCCCGTGCACGGGGGAGACAAAGCCCCGGGGGGTGATCCAGAACCACAGAGAAAGGTGAGAGGGGACCCACAGGAGAAAGACAATGGAAGAACCATTAAGGCAGGAATCTGGTGCCCGGGCTGTGGTAGGTCACTGGGCTACCGAGAAGAGTGGAGCACAACAAAGGGGTATGGGAGGAAGGACAGCGGAGGGGAGGAGATGGAGAAGGGATGCGGGGCGCCACGGGTTGGACAAAGCGCCCAAGGCGGCGAAACAAAGGGCCGGGGGTAGAGAGTCGCGGGGGGCAGCGGGCAAAGACAAAGCGCCCGAGGCCGGGGGCACCAGCCGGGCGAGGCGGCGACGACTGCCGAGAGGAACAAAGCTGCACGGGGCCCCCAAGCCAGGGACCGCGGGAGGCGCAGAGCAGGCACGGCTCCCGCGGGCCCCGCGCGCCGGGCCGCACTCACGCCCGCACCCGCCGGCCTCGTCGCCGCCGCCCGCCCTCACGCGCCGGAGCCCGAGCCACAGCAGCGCAGAGAAGCAGCGCACGGCCACACGCCGCCGCCGCCGCGCTTGGCGCACGCGACGCCGCCCCCGCGGGCCCCTGGACGCCAAGCACGCCCCGGACCCCGAACCCGCCGCCCGCCGCGGGCTGCCAGACGCCCGTAACTTTCCCGGTTCCCAGCGCTCCGATTCCCTCAGACTTACCCTGTCACAACAGGCGCCATCTTCCACAAACTCTCGCCAAAACTCCAACCCTCGCGAGATTCCCCCCGACGCCTTCCCTGGTCCCTCTCCCCCGCCCCTTCCCTTTTTCCTCACTCCTCAATTCCACCCAGCCCCCGCGCTCCCTTTCCCCTCGCAGCCGCTGCGAAGAGCCAGATGCCTCGCGCCGCCCGTAGAGTAGGGGATCCTGCTCGCTGCCTTCCCAAACCTACCCAAGCGATGGAGCATGCGCAGGCGGCTCCACCGCGGGCGAGCCCTCCGTTTGGTCCATGCGGAGTGCTCCGGTTATCCGGGTTTTGGGACGCGCCTTGAGAGACGTACGTGGAGACTGAGGAAAACCGGAGGGGATTACTACGGGGACAGGGAATGGAGGGGTCAGGAGGCGGGGCCGAGGGGAAGGGAGGAGGGGTCCTGGGAAAATCGGCCGCGTTTCACAGGCCTAGATGAAACACCTCCTCAAATGGGTGTTTTCCAAGAGGCTTCCCGCTCACTCTGGGTTCCCAGCTCTTTTCATTCATTCAAACGTTCCCTGGGCGCCTCCTTTATGCTAATCTCGGCGTTAGGTGCCAGAGCGTCAGAGGTGCCTGGGGTTCGGGCAAGTGACACGTCGGGAACTGTCTCCTTTCATTACACCCACATGCTAATGAGGAGGCCCTTCCAGAGCTCCGCAAATGGAAAATTTATGCAGTTGAGCTTTCTCGCCTTCGCGTTCTCCTTGGGTGTGAAATGAGGTCAGGCCAAGGCTTCTGGCAAAGACACGCCTAATGGCCACCTCGTAGACACAGGCCAGAGCACGGAGTAGTTCTTTCCAGATGGGAAAACTGCCTTAGAATTGAGAGTCACATTCTCCCACCTCCGAGTCGGGCCAGAGGCCCCGATCAAAGCTCCCGCCGCTCGCGTGCTGCGTGGCCTCCCTAGGACCCCAACGCAACCGCCACGGTGTGTGAGCCCAGGTGTGTGGGGGGCCACTACTGCACAGGGAGCCGGGCCTCCCGAGGGGCTGACACAGCGGAGGACGCTGCCGGCTGCTCGAATCGCGCTTCTGGCCGCCTGATCCCGGAAGCCCCCGGGCGAACCTGGCCCGGCCGGTCACTGAACAGCAAGATGCAGGGCCCGAACCCCGCCCCCTCCTCCTACCTGCAGCCCCCCATCTTTCCCCTTTCCTTTCCTAGAGATTCCCAGATCCAGCACTGCCTCCCGCAGGGAGCCCCAAAACCCGGAGAACTGGAATTCGCCTCCCGAAACCTGCTGAAGGCGCTGCAGGATTGGCGCGGCCGCGCGAGCGGTACTGCGCGTGCGCCAATGCGGGCAGTCCAGTCTCACGCTACACCTCCTTCCCACCGCCTTCCACTACAGTACTCTGCTCAGACACAACACGGCCGTGGGAAATTTCCTAAGCCTCGCGAGAACACGCCCACTGTTGCCTAGGCTTTCGCCCCAAATCTCGCGGAGCCCAAGCAGGACAGGTGTTTGTCTAGAGCTCCAGGCGCCTTTCGTGCCGCGCGTGCCCGGGAGGCGGGCGGCGGGAGGCGGGCGGCGAGCGGCGAGCGGCGGGCCGCGGGCCGCGGGCGGGGTGGGAAGGGAGCGGCTCGCCGCGGAGGCGGGGCAGGAGGGCGCGTGGCTGGGAGCACGGGGCGGAGGGCAGCGGGGGAGGAGGTCTAGCACACACACGCACACGCCCCGTGACGCTGGGTGGAAGACGAGGGGTGGAGAGCCTCGAAGGGGAAGCCAGGAGGTTTGAAGTCGCTCCCGGTGCGGAGAGTGAGAGGTCAGGGTCTAGGGCAGGAGGAGCCCTAGGCCGATCTCCCGGGGAGGTTTCCTGTCGCCCTCCACAAGCCTGGTACTTTCCTAAAACGTGCTAGATGCCGGGTCCCCAGCCTCCGGGAGCTGACAGACAGCCCCCAGAGTCGGGTTTGAGTCATGCCTTGAGTCACCTAGTCTGGCCACCACTTCGCTTACTTAAGTTCTGATTCCCTTAGCTACTCTCCTTTAGCAAGTGGTTGTTTTCTTTCTAATCTACCCGCTGGCCCTGTGAGCTGGGTTGAAAAAAAAAAAAAAAAAAAAAAATAGCTGCGTGCTCACATTGCTGCCTTGTATAGATTCTTGCTGCCATTTAAGGACACGATTTTTTAAATTTCTTCTTTGTCTCTTCTTAGCCTTTTGAAGTAATCCTACAAATCAGTTTCTGGTCTCTTTTTCCTCTCACTAATATGGCTTTTTTTTGCTTTCCTTCACCTTTCCATATTTTTGTTAAAATATCCCATTTTACAAATTGCTGCAGCAAGCGCTGTAGTGACTACTGTTTTAAATGCATCCCTTCCTTTTGAACCATTCATCCAATGAGTTCCTGATTACATTCTTCAACCAGCCACGTTTCAGATTGGCCCTGATGTGGTTTCTATACCAGCCTTTTAGTCTGGCATTATCTAGAAACTGGTGTCTTCCTGCTGACATCACAGCCCCGCAAATGTAGAGTTGAATTGAGTTTAAAAAACTGCAAAACAGATATATAGATATAGATATAGATATATACTTACTTTCCTATATGTGTCTAAAATGTCCCTGGAAGGAACACTAGAAACTAACAATGACACGTCGGGCGCAGTAGGTCACACCTGTAATCCTAGCACTTTGGGAGGCTGAGGCAGGCGGATAATGATGTCAGGAGTTCGAGACCAGCCTGGCCAATATGGCAAAACCCTGTCTCTACTAAAAACACAAAAATTAGCCAGGTGCGGTGGTGTGTGCCTGTAGTCCCAGCTACTCGGAAGTTGAGGCAGAAGAATCACTTGAACTTGGGAGGCAGAGGTTGCCGTGAGCCAAGATCATGCCACTGCACTCCAGCCCGGGTGACAAGTGAGACTCTGTCTCAAGAAAAAAAAAAAGTAACAGTGACTGCCTTCTTACAAGGGACTACAGTGGGAAGATGTAGGTGAGGGAGTGGCTTTCCTTGCAGTCTGCTATCTTGGATCTTTTGAATTTTGTACCGTACACATATATTTTCTATAAATACATATATGTAAAACTTAGGAAAGAAAAGAAAGAAATGGAATAAATGTGCAAGAAGATAAAAATTGTTTCCTTCCTTCTACTTTGGTAGAATTATTTTCCAATAGAAGTTATGATTCCAGCTTGGTGGCTCACACTTGTAATCCCAGAAATTTGGGAGGCTGAGACAGGCAGATCACTTGAGCCCAGAAGTTCAAGACCAGCCTGGACAATATAGTGAGACTGTCTCAATAAAAAACTATAAAACTTAGCTGGGCATGGTGGCATATGTCTGTAGCCCCAGCTACTCAGGAGGCTGAGGTGGGAGAATTGCTTGAGCCCCTGAGGTTAGGCTGCAGTGAGCTGTGATTTCGCCACTGCACTCCACCCTGGGTGACAGAGAGAGACCCTGTCACCTGTCATACACACATAGAAAAAAGTTATGTATGTGACCTATCATCTTGGTAGAATTAAAACAGCAGAACTGGCTCATGGTTCAAACAGCATGATTAGAGCACCTACCACTGCAGGTCAGGTATCATCTTGGTATTTTACAAAAATAGACAACACAAAGAACCCAACCTCCAAGGACTCCCTGTCTAAGAGAATACACAGACCAGTGCAGTGCAATCCTATGGTAGGAAAGAGATACAAGGGTTTAACAGCTTGGGGATACAATGAAGGAAGACCTTACTTTTGCCTCATGGGCCCAGTCTTTGCAGAGATGACTTCTGAGCTGACTGATTGCAGTGGGAGTTCAGTAGACAAGAAGAGGGGAAGCATGACAAGCACAGGAAACAGCCTGTTCAGCCTCTGAGGTGTGAAAGAGCATCTGCTATTCAGGGGAACTCCAGGTGAGGGTTTGATGCACGCAGAAGAGGGAAAGGCATTCTAAGCAGGGTCATCAGAAGGGCCTGGTAGAGCTGTGGTCCTCAGAACTTAGTGGGCATCAGAATCAATTAAGGACCTGAGTCCCACTCCCTAAGACGCTAAATGAGTAAATCTGGACTGAAGCATTTGTAGCAGGTATTTACAATGGGCTGCTCAGAGATTCTGATGCAAATTGTCCATGAACTGAGCCTTAAGAATTTTTTTTTAAGACAGGGTCTCACTCTGTTGCTCAGACTGGAGTGCAGTGGTACAGTCAACTGTCATTGTAGCTTTGAACTCCTGGGCTCAAGAGATCCTCCCATCTTGGCCTCCGAAAATGCTGGGATTACAGGCATGAGTCACTGCACCCAGCAAGAATCATTCTTTGTTATAGAACTTGAGTATAACCTTTATCTGGGACTTTCTCACTAAAGGGGGTAATGGCACATAGTTTCTTTTTAAAAAATCAATAAATGAAATATTTAAATAGTGAAAGGGATGAGTTTGGAAGCCCCTAGATGAGTATCCAAAGGCATGCGAAGCAGCTAGTGGCTTGTGAGAGGAACATTACAGTTTGCTGTGATGGTTTAAACACAGTGACACATTCCTTTTTTTTTTTTTTTTTTTTTTTTTTTTTTTTTGAGACAGTCTCGCTCTGTTGCCCAGGCTGGAGTGCAGTGGCACTATCTCAGCTTACTGCAACCTCTGCCTCCCAGGTTCAAGCAATTCTCCTGCCTCAGCCTCCCAAGTAGCTGGGATTATAGGTGCACACCACCATGCCCAGCTAATTTTTTTGTATTTTTAGTAGAAATGGGGTTTCACCATGTTGGCCAGGCTGGTTTTCAACTCCTGACCTTAAGTGATCCTCCCACCTCCGCATCCCAGAGTTGTTAGGATTACAGCCATGAGCCACCATGCTTGGCCCCACAGTGATTTCCCTTCAACATTGCTAGCTGTGTGATTTAGACAAGTTGTTTAACTCGTTAGTGCCTCCATTTCTTCACCTGGAAAGTAGAGATAATAGCTTCTAATTCCTAGGATCGTCAGAATTCAAAGTATTACTGTTTAAAGTACATAGAACAATGCTGTAACATAATCACTACAGTAGCGTTAGTTGTTATTATTATTCAACAAGCCCATAACTTGCATTCATCTCATCAAAAGTATTGCAAATCATGTCACAATGGCCTTACTTCAAAAAACGGTGTCAGTCGGGCACAGCGGTTCATGCCTGTAATCCCAGCACTTTGGGAGGCCAAGGTGGATGGATCATGTGAGGTCAGGAGTTCAAGACCAGCCTGGCCAACATGGTGAAACCCCGCCTCTACTAAAAATACAAAAATCAGCTACATGTGGTGGCAGGCGCCTGTAATCCCAGCTACTTGGGAGGCTGAGGCCAGGGAATCGCTTGGGCCCAGGAGGCAGAAGTTGCAGTGAACCCAGATCACACCACTGCACTCCAGCCTGGGCGACAGAATGAGACTGTCTCAAAAAAAAAAAAAAAGTTAAAACAGCCAAATATACTGATGATTTTATCTCAATTGGTGTTAATTCATTTTTTATCATATCCCACTCAGAAATGACAATATCGTTATTATTGTCATTTAATTTCCAAGAGGATCACATGTCCAAAAGTTTGGAAATCCCCCTAGCCGATGGGAGCCTCTGAGGATACAAAGCAGGGTTTCTTGTTATCAGATTGTGCAGGCGCTCTGTGCCTAAGACGGCCTTACTGTTAACTCATGTTAGAAACTAGAAGCTGCTCACTCTACAAATGCTTAACTGATGTTTTTTTGTTCATCTTTGTGCTTTTCTTATATTTATAACATTATCCCTGTCATTTTCTGCCATGTGTTAATCAAGGTTAATAAAATGTACCAGAGATTGAAAGCGTGCCAAGAAGGATTCCATCAGACTCTGCAATTTTATATAGAAAATAAGCTCCAATTCCAGGATTAAAAGAAAGAAAGAAAACACTGAAAATGAATCACAGCTTTAGGAGAACTTGAGAAACAAAAATAAATAGTCACCATTTTCTGTCCAATTGTGTTAAATTTTTCACAGGATTCTTTGGCCCTGGCAATTTCAGTTTTTTGCAGGCCTGGGTTAAGTTTTGCTTAGCTTGCTAACATGTGCAGGAGTTCAAGAAGGTAAAGCAAGAAAATGAATGGGCCATTTAC